CATTATGATTGTCTCAACTTTCAAGATGATGCAATTGAGATGAAGATCTTCAAGGATGACATGTTCTTCCTCGAATAGATGGCAAAATACAATGCGTTTGGTATCACGACCTTGGAAGGGACTCCCGATGTTTGGTGATTTTATTAGAGATAGGAACAACTCCTGATGGTGTTTCAAATATTTTATTCTGAGGAAGTTATGAAGGCCTCAACAATGATCAAATAACTGGGTGATCTTCCTGCCCTGGTATGGGACACTACTGATGGTTGAGAGGCCCTATCAATCATCTTCAAAGAAAATAAAGATCAAAGTATGTGGCAAATACAATTCATCGCATCATAGATCTCTTCAACATATGATTATCACTCTTCATGGAACTCGTTCCTAGAAGGGGGGATAATGTCATGAACATACACATGTAAGCCAATAATTACATGTATAAACATGTAGAAGTAAATAAAAGTAGGTAAAAGTAAGTTAATTCTATAGTATTTGATATGGAAGCTTTCTAGAAGCTTCATAGACATTGCTTTGACATTATAGGTGTCTTTAATTGACTTTTTGGATTAGAAACGTGGTCAACAAGTTGGCCATGTGCCACACATGCTGTTAGGTTGAAAACCAAGCTAACTATGTGGCCCACATGTAGAAAAACTTGCCTTGTAAGTCAAGGCATGTATCCTACAAAGTCAACACATATTGAATGTCCTATAGAACATTGCGACGTAGCCCCTAATTAGATAGTCTATATAGAAACAAGAGTAAAGGCTTCTTCACTCTTGTCAACTCCTTTCTTGCTTCCAGTCTAGTTTCAAGGATCTCTAGTTCTCTTGGCTTTTGGCAATAGCCATTCCAGTTTCTTTCTCAATATATATATCAAGTTATTTCTATTTTTTCATCTTTCTTTGAGAAAAGTCTCACTTGTTATTTATCTTCATCATGTTCTTGTCCTTGATAGGTATGCTCATATATATTTGATAAAAAATATTCTATTAAGTGATGAAAATTTCAATTGTTGGTAACTAAATAATACATGTCCATGATTGTTGAAAGATTTTCTAATCTTTATTTGTCCAAAATACTTCTTACACTTTGCAAGAACATTCTTATAAATATGCTAGATATAGAAAAGTGATGTGTTAATCAAAAAGATAGCTAGTAGGGCATTTATAAGTCAGTTTGTAGTTGGTTGTCATGATTATTTGCTTGATATCTTCATAAATACTTGTAAGTTATTTGAGCACCTATAAATAGTAGATTTTACTTTCTTCTTGTATAAAAGTAATTACAATAGTAAAAAAAGTGTTGAAACTTATCATCCCAATGACATTGAATATTGGAATACTAAATTTATTAGTCTTGTAGATGCAATCCATGACTAAGGTATAAGGATACTTTCAAGCAAGTTTTATACAACCAAGGTGTATAAAAAATAAGTGTACCACTTGATCAAAAATATTGACATGATACTCAAAGTAAAAGTTCTTCTTCTAAAGTTGTTCCACAAAACCAAGATAAGTAAGCAATTACCAAGTTTAACTTTTGGATGTGTATTTTCTTGTTGTGAATGGTCTTTGTTATTACCTATTTTTTTGGATTACTTTGCCTTAAGGTGAATAAGATATCTTTCAAAGTAATATCAATAACAACTATTTGTTGTATTGCTTCATGCTAATTAGGCTTAAGATGGAGTACACTAGAATGTCCAACAATGTTACTAGAAGGCTTGTTGTTGTGCTCATCTTTAGTGACTATAATATACTAGAATCTGTCTGACTTGTGTAAAGCTCCATTGAGTTGAAAAAAGTAGCCAATCTTTTGTATAGATCCTTTGTAAATTTATTTGCATCTATTGGATCTTTTAATGGATTATATTTGCTTCCATAGTCATATTTTAATACAATCTTCTTTTAAGTAAGATCAATGTATAGCCATATAAGAATATAGCTCTAGTAGTGAGAAAATGCCTTTACAGACTACATCATCTCTTTTTATGAATTATAGGAAGTTTCAAATGGAAGTAATATAATTTTGGTTAGAATGCAATATAGTTTGGAAGTTTGGAGACTCAAGAATTGAAAATTTTTGAGGGTGTATTTAATATTGCAAATACTTTAGAGGCAATTCAAAAGTCATATGGAAGATGAGAGTACCAATTTTTAGCAATGCACTCATATTCAACATCATGGACACTTTAGAAGCAACTCAAAAGTTATGTAGGAGGTGGAAATAGCAATTTAGGGGGTATATTTAGCATTCATTTTTCTTTAATAAAGAATTGATAAGATAAAAATAAGATTAAAAATTAAAGACCTTGCATATTTTAGATTGGTTCTTTGGATCTACATTTAATATCAAAGGGGAGTCATAGAAGGGGGATCAAGAAAAAGAAAGATAGGAAAAGATAAAGAAGTTTAGTGGTAGTCAGTTGAATAATGATTAGAAAGCCAAAAAGAAATTAAAATTAAAATTAAAAACTTATAGAAGTTTGTGAATTTAAAGGGAAAATAATGACAATGGTATGTTTTATGTTGATTTCAGAGAAAACATAATTTAAATTAGTACCAGGTTGATATGAAATTATGCGGAAATACAACAGAAACAAAAACAAAAACGAAATTTATCATCAAGAATTGAAGGGAGAGGTTACTTCTTTAAATTACTCATATTAAGAATACAGATTTTGAATGATTGAATTTTGAGCACAAGAGCGCCATAACTGTACAGTTTGGGGATATATTCTTGTAAACCATAAAAGCTTTTTTAGTTACATTTTAACACTAACTAAGTATTTATATAAATATATATATATATATATAGTATTTGATGCAATACAACAATTGAATGCTTTTACCATCAACTCATAGAATGTCCTTCCAATATCAAACATCCTTGTCGAAAAGACAACACCTTCAGCTCACATCGTTGAAGCGGTCACACATCCCAATTGTACCATGAAGCAGAAAAGCTCAACACAAGACAGTTGAATAAACACACTCTCTCTCTCTCACACACACACATAAATAAATAACACAAGTGATGAACGCCGTTGGAAGACCAAGAATATCCAACAAAATGCAGCGATTAATTCTACCCGGAAGGATGCCAATCGGAGCCATATCGACAAAGATCCATCACGCAGCAATGGAGCCAGTTGGGTTCACATCCTGGTGTGTGGACAAGGTTAAAGGAAATGAAAGGCAAGGAAGATTACAGCAGAGCTGTTTTGAGGTCAACCTCGTAGCCATTTTTCCACCATGTCAGTATTCCCACACTGCCATGCTCCAGATCATTTCACTGCGTGCTCTGCGTGATCTGCTGTGGTGTTGCGTGGAGGGGTCAACGTTTTTGGTTTTTATTCCCTTCACCCACTACTAGATGGAGGCCCTCAGAAGGCTATAGACCCGAAAAAACTGCGGTAACAGAGGAAGAGAAATAAATAAAGAAATAATGAAGAAGAAGAAGACAAAAATGAAGGAAGTTCCCAATAATGGTGGTGGTGGTGGTAGTGATCCGAGCTGGCTGGAAACGAGCTTCGGTGCAAGACGACTGGTCAGTGTATTCTACGAGAGTGTGTATTCTGCCGAGTGTCTTAACTTTCTTCGATCAGTGTGAGTGGGTGGACGTACGAGTATCTCGCCATCAATGCCAGTCTCTGTCCGGAAGTCTGAATTCAATGCACATCCATGGTTTTACACGGATTTTCTACTTCTTCTTCTTCTTCGTTTTTTCTTCTGCTTCTTATTTTGCTTCTGTTTGTTTCGATTAGATGAGGACTTAGTTATAGCATTGACCGCACAGGAGCAACGGGAGAGGGGCTATACCGTCCTTTTTGCGATTATCTGATTTGATCAACGACAGCGCCTGTCTTGTAAAGTGCAGTCAACTTAATATTGTGGTATTGCAAATCACCCAGGCCTGCAGCCTAGTGCATGTCTATCAAGTCACTCCTAATGCATTTCGTGATATGAGCCTGTCAAGCCCACTCTGACTCTGTGACTCGTCTCTCTGGAAGGCTGTGTGTGTGCAGGTACTCTCTGCGACGCCGGTGGAGTCATGTGACCTTGCAAATTCCATTCAACTCCTATTCAACTAAATTTTCCTCAAGTCGGCTTTTGGCGACTGCCAGCATGGCACTCAATTTCCGTATTTTGTTTCAGTGAACGTGTTGTAAACATCGACATTTTTGAACCAGGTTGAGAGTCCGGAATCAGGTTCCAGTGACAGAATCGAAGACATAGAGACATCAAATTATGTTCCTGTGTCAGAAACTTCACCGAGATCGCTACTTGAGATCCACTGATTCTCCAATTTATCACGGTTTAGCAATCTGTTTTTTCGTATTACTTTATTTCAGTTTGAGCGAATGGAACTCTGTAACTACTCATAAATGCGCACTCAAGTTCCAACAGAGATTACACCTGTGATTGACTTTCGCAGTGAGAGCTTCCAGGCCTGCTTCAATGACGTTCCGCCAGTCACTTTTTGCGAGAGTAAATGTGCGTCTGGATGGACTGAACAGAAATGAGACAACAGTAGGGGTGGGTCCAGGATGCAGTTCTGGTCCCATTACTGTTGCTGTTGACATCAAGGAAGGGGTCCAGTACAACCTGAACCCACCTCATTCATGAAGCTCCATGAGAGCAATCTATGTACGCTTTTCCTATTGAAGTTCAGTCACCGCTTTTAAATCAGCAACTATGATGTGTACCAGACGCTATAAGTTTTGCTGGTGCTGCACTACAGACCTTCAGATTCGGAATCAGTTCAACCTCCAAGCTTAGGACTCCCACAGCACACAGCACTGGGCATAGTTCTAGAGTTCATGCCCTTCAAGTTGGTGGCTAGTAGAATCCGTCCTGCCTGAAACGATGAAGAACCCATGCTTGTATTAGGATTCAGAAACGAAGCAATGCGAGTAAACTGATTAGAATGTGAGGGATGAACAACCGCCGGTGAGCATTTTGGAGCCTTTGGACGCGATAGAGTGCTGCCGCAACATGATGGTGGATTTTGTGCTTCAAGTGACTATACCTTCAAAAACAGTGGCGAGTGACAACGAAAACTTTACCTCGGAGAGTTGGACACATTTTGATAGGCTGTTGTTGCAGGAGCTCAGTTTGGCGATCGACGCCCCAACCTCAGAATTTTTGAACATGAAGAGCTTGCTTCTGGTGATACTCTTTATACTCCTGGCATCCGCCGCGGCGCTGGAGTCTCGGATACTTACCTCCAGGGGTCGCAACTTGTTCCAGCCATCACTGCAACCAAGGCATCGGAGGAGGGATCGCTCTGATGGCAAACCACTGGAGGTCTTCGAACTCGCCAAACCTCCCGACTTACCTCCAGGAGCCACTGAGATCTGCAACCAAGTGCTCGTCCGCCATGTCTTCGGAAATACACTGCAAAATCCCCCTCTCCTGCGTCCATACTCTCCATCGCCCAGCTGCGGGAAAAACTGGGCCCGCATCTTCTTACGATGGAGAGCCAGCTGCACAGGGCGGCAATTCGACCGCATCTCAGCAGTCTGGCTCGGCGGAGTAGAAATTCTCCGAACATGCACAGCGGAGCCAGTCCAGCAACCCGGGATTCAATGGACGGTGGAGAAAGATGTCACGCGCTACTCGTCGCTGTTCAGTTCCCCTCAACCCGTGGCTCTGGAGCTCGCGAATGTCGTGGAAGGTGTCTACACTGGTCTCTACAACGTGACATTGTCCGTGCATTTCTTTTCGAGCGAATCCAACGATCCAAGCTTCAATGGCGGCGCAGATGTTTTCCTCCCATTTGCGAATTTTAGCGCCCAGGAGTACTGGTTTCGCATCCACAACGAGGGAGAAGCCCACATACGAGAGATTCACATCCCACGAAACGCATACAAGGCCGTGATGGAGATTTGTGTTTCGTTCCACGAACATGACGAGTTCTGGTACATCAACCCACCGAATGAGTACCTCAAGGCGAGCAATGTGACTGATGAGGCGGGTAATGGAGCCTTCCGGGAGATTTTGGTAACTGTCGATGGGTTGCTCGCGGGGGTGGTGTATCCATTTCCGGTGATTCATACCGGTGGGGTGAACCCATACTTTTGGCGGCCCGTCTCAGGAATCGGCTCCTTTGTTTTGCCTTCATATGATGTGGATATCACGCCGTTTCTAGGGACGTTAGTGGACGGTGAGAGGCACAAGTTTGGAGTGTCGGTAACGAATGCGCTACCGTCCTGGTTGCTGGGGGTGAATTTGCATGTCTGGGTTGACGAATCTGTAGAAGCCACAAGAGGGGAGATGGTGCACCACTTTGCCTCGACCTCCTTCCTGACGACGAAGTCCGAATTTATGGAGCTTGATGGGACGTTCCTTATGGAGACGTCGAGGGTGGTCGAGTACTCCGGATGGCTGCTGTCGTCGTTGGGAAACTTGACCACAAGCGCAGAGCATTTGTTCAAATTCTCAAACTCTCAGGTATTGTCAGAAGGTGGCAGGGGGGTCGATGTCCACCAGGAGAGCTCCTCGGAGAGTAAAATAGCGGTTAAGTCTCTGGAGAGTTGCTTGGTGTATGACCACAGATTATACAGATTTCCCCTCCGATTATCGATGCATGCAACGGAATATGTCGACGGAAGCTACGTGATCAAGGCGAAGATCAACCGTGCTTGGGAGGAAGAGCGGCAGTACCAGTCTAGGACAAGCCCTAGTCGAAACTCCTTCAATGCGTTAAAAAACAGGCAGCAGGCACAGGGAAGGCTGTTCCTCTCGCCTTCGGGTGAAAGTCGTGGAATCGCAACGACGAAACAAACACTGAGTTACGACGGAACTGGAGGATGTTACTCTCGCTCTCTTGGCGTCTCGAGCAATGGATCCTTCCTATTTGATCAATCTCATACGCGTTGCACATAATAGTCCAAGAATCTAAGAGTAATACGAATTCAAGCCCAACTACGCGAGACAAATTAAGCTGGCAGAGATAAGGTTCTGTTGAAAGAACCATGTCAATTACACTCGTTTCAGTTGTTACCAACCAAACCATACATTTGCGGAAGGGAACGGAGACCAGAATTCTACACGAATTCTACGTGTAACATATGTCCGCTTGCTTCGAATTCTTTGTTGAAAAGCTTTGGACGTGAGCTCCGTTGGATTGAAACAATGTGGAGATTCGCTTCGCCCACTAGATAGGCGTCTGAAAACTTTAAGAATCAAACTTGTTCGGATGCAGATTGATTCAGCAGCATGGTGCAAACTTGAATCGCTTCGCTCACTGTGAAGAACACCCACTCGGAGCCTAAGTGCGCCAGGAATTTGGAGTCGTCGAGTTTGATGATTACTGAAGCTCCTGGATTCGCGAACGCCAACTGCCAACCAAACGCACACCAAAAGCCAAGTAAACAAGGAGTTCCCTTCAGATGCTCATCTCTGCGCATCAAAAAAAAAAAACAAAACAAAACAAAACAAAACAAAACAAAAAAACAAAGAAACAAAATACACAAAACAAACAAAACAAAATGGAGGAAAACAGCAGCTCGTTGAAAGTTGAAAAATATTCTCTCAGCACAGTTGTTATGGTTGCACATGACCAACAAATACCTGGATGTTCTTTCGCTTGAGAGTCTTTTCCAGCTCCTCGAAGGCAATAATCCCACTAGTATCTATATTTGTAACAGCTGCACAACAAGAATTGAACTCACTTATTGTCAATGCGCCTAACACGAGTGCTAAACATTGCACCATGAAGAATCAAACTTAGCAAGGTATAGTTTAAGGTTCGGGGCTTACGGGTCAAGTCCACAATGAGGTACTTAATCGGAGCGCCATCCGACTTGGAGAGCCTCTGCATCTCCTCCTCAAGGTAGTGAAGGATCTTGTCATGGATGTAGTTAGAGTTGGAGAAATAAATGGCCGCGTCCACCCGAATAGCGAGGATGCCGGGCACAAGTGTGGCATTGGGATACTGTGTTACATTTCGGTACACGTTCGTACCAGGAATGTTACCTAGGCGAGCAGTGTGGGGGCGTGTTACATTGTACAAAATCTTGACAAAAGAGATACACACCTGTTGAATTTTCAAGATTGGATGATGTCAGTTCTCGTGCCAGTACCAAGAAAACGGATGCTAGAACTACAAATATAAAAGATAGAGAATACAAAAAACTTACAGCAATGAGAAGTCCGATTTCGACAGAGACGAAGAAAACGCCGACAAAAGCACCCAAGCAAGCAAGGAAGTCGAACTTATCAATCTTCCAAATGAGCAATGCAGCCCTCAAGTCTATCAGTGAGAGCACAGCCGAGATAATGATGGCAGAAAGGATGCAGTTTGGTGTGTATTTGAACAAGGGGGTGAGCACCAGCAATGTCACGAGCACCACAATGGCCATTATAACGTTGGACATGGCCGTGCACACCCCCGACTGGTAGTTCACAGCCGATCTTGAGAATGACCCTGCCACCACCAATATTCAAATATTACACAACATGTAAAATCGAGTAATTCTACCAGAAAGCCAAAAATAGAGAAACAAAAACCAATTGGTACTCTACTTCCATGAGAAATTTAAATCTACCGTTCTAGTGAAAAGAATCACATACCAGTAGCGACATAGCAGGAAGTGAAAGAGCCACATAGATTCATGACTCCGAAGGCAATCATCTCCTTGTTGCCATCAATGTGGTAATCTCGCAGCGCCGCAAAAGTTCGTCCAATTGCAACACCTTCTGTGAGGGCAATGATCGCTGCAATTAGACCCACCTTCGCACCAGCTGCAGCAAGGGAACCGGAGAAAAATATATCACCGATAGAGACGGGGTTGATTCCCTTCTTGATATGACCCACCTGCACTCCAAACGATGAAAATAACCCACTGAAATAAGAATTACATACTCACCGTGAATTCAACATTACAAACTGATAGTGCGTTTGTTGAAGATGCGAAGATGACAAGCTTTTGCAAAATCCAGAAACTCACAATCTTGACACCATGTTTGTCGACCCTTGTGAGAAACACGAACAGAGTGGATAGACCCACGGAAGTCAAGGGAGCAATGGCCGACACCCAGAACAGTTTCTTCTTCTTCTTAGCCTGAAGATCATTCGAAGATTAAGCAGCAGACAGGGATTGAATACATAAACCTTAAACCCTAAATCATGAATTCTGTTCTTTTACGATGCAGTGTAGTAATTGTGTAGAAGACATACCATTGTTTTAGTAGTAATGAGGAATGCCAAGAAGGCAAGCCCGATCACAATCGATCGCCAGTTCCACTACAAGTCCACGTTCAAGCAAGACTTTAGACGTATGTTATATTAAAACCCAGTGGCATGCTCATTATTTCACAAGCGTTAGCTATTAGAACAAGGATTACCTCATCGATATGTCCAAAAACAGACCTCATGACCGAAACGAAATCTGTGTCTGTGGTGAAGTTGGTTATATTGAGCAATCCTTTCAATTGCTGCAGAGCAATGGTAATGGCAGCACCAGCCATGAAGCCTACAATGGCGGCATGGGAGAGAAACTCGGTGACGAATCCCAACCTGTTCAGTGAGAAATATTCGTTTGTTAAGCAATCAAACAGGACTCGAAAAACTAAACGTTGTGAACATGATCCGTCCTAAGACAAGAGAAAGAAAATCCAAGCAATAGCAAAAGAAAAAGTGAGAGACTGACCGAAACACGCCCAACCCAGCCTGGAAAATGCCACAAAAGAAAGTCGCAGTAAAAGCAAGTTTCAAGTAATTAACTGGATCCTGAATAGGGTCAATCTCTTGCTTCAATAAAGTTCCCATCAAAAGCGACACCACTGCAACAGGACCAATCGCTATGTCGCGGGAGCTTCCAAACACTGCGTAGACTAAAGGAGGGACAAAACTAGAATCTGTTCACACACAACCCCACCAAAAGAAAGTTCAGACTCCAATTTGCAATAAAACCAAGAAAGACGATTCAAGAAAAATAATAATTGAAGGCAAAACTTACACAAGCCGTTTACAGGTGGAACTCCAGCCAACTTCGCATAACCTAGATCCTACAATTGCATCAACCACCACAAGGGATACTATTAGATGAGAGTTCAAATTGGTGCTAGCAGGCAGCAATGAAATTCCAAAACGAAAACGATGATTTTGTCCTACCTGTGGAATTGCCAAACTTGCAATGGTGCACCCAGATATGATGTCAGCAATCAACATTTTGTAGTTGTATTTGGGGATCCAATCAAGAATAGGGAAAATAAATTTGAGACTCAGAATGCCCTTCTTCATTTTGGTCTGTCCCTTGAATTGGTCGACAGGTGCATCGTGGAAGAAAAGTTCCCACAATTCTGACCCGATTTCTTGGAAGACATTTCGTTTTGGGGGCACCTCCACTTTGTGCACTAGGGGCACTACCTCTCCATGCCCAGTGCGGCTTTCTCGCTCATCGCTTGCCATGACTCCTCACCTACATGGAATTCAAAACAAGAAGAACCGCTTTAAAAATCAAAAATCGAAAAAACACTACATGCGTTGCAATCACCAGCCTTCTGAGCACCACGACGAGACTTCCGAAGTACTCCAATTAGAGATAGGAACTACAACGTCGGTGTTGAGGACATCCACTGCAGATGTCTATTGATCTCTTCATCAAGACAATGCTTGTTTCCCAACAGCCCAATCATGGGTTCACATCTACTGAATACGCAAGAGCGTAATCCAAACTAAGCTCGCCCGACCTCACCAGACCTAGGTGGTTTCTTTGCTGCATTCTTGCAACAAAACAACTACCGCATTCCTATACAATCTTTGAAGCATTCACTCGTGTTCCCCTAATTTAACTCATCAAGGGATGTGAGTAGCAGGACTAATCTTGCCTTCCAGAAGAGTTATTCGGTTGCGACTAACTCCCTACGAAATCGTCACGCCCTCCATTGCGACACGGGCACCAGAAACCTTCGTTGAACTTATCGTGCAGAGTTACATTCACACGACCCCTCTCACCTCCACGCCATCCTCCCCATTACCAACCCGACTGATCGATTGTCCCCCTCGGAAGCTTCTCCTGGAACTCGCTGAGTTGCGAAAAATCCAACACCAGGAGACAGGAGAATCATGAGCCGAACAGCAACACTGCGGGACAACAAACCCTGAAGACTGCAGGATTCGACCGTGCTTGTCGTGTAGGTGAGGTGCTGCAGATGGAGAAAGTGATAACACAAGTGTGGGATGTAGGCGAGGGGGGGGGAGGGGAAGGTGCGCAGGGGGTAGATGCATTGCGCACAGCAACAAATTACGGATTTGTCGTCGCGGAAGAGCACTGGATGCTTTGCTGTGAGAGGGGCTTTTCTTACTGCGCCTTTCTTCTTACCTGCTCGCTCTTTGCGCCGAGTCGTGCGACGCAGGCAGGCAGGCAACCGACGAGAACAGGTGATGATTAAGGCAAAGAGGCTGCAGGTCCAGAGGGCCAATCCTTCCGAAACACGAGCCCTCCGCAATTGGAATCCGCATTGTCATTGGCGCGCAGCGCCACGATTGCTGATTGATGCAAAGGGATGGGTGCTTCCACTGGGAGAGCTTTTACCATCTTTCCATTTCCGCTTCCGACCTTGACGATTCCATTTTTAGTGCTTGTTATCGCCTCGTTCCGTTGTTAGAATGCCACCGAAACGTTTGCGCCGTCGCAACGCCCCTTCCGCCTCCGCGAGAAGGGTTTTAACAAGAGTAAGCTCTGCAGAGTAAACTTTAGTGAGTCTTAAAATGAGAATGAGCACTCTATGTGCAAATGTTTTGGTGAATCCATTGTCCAAAGAGGAGGAGGATGCTAATTCTCTTTAATAAAAATCCTTTGAAACTTCATCCTTGGACTGACAAGTGATAAAACTGCATCATGAAGCATCCTTACTCTATGGCCCACACTAATACCATTTTATATCTTAAAATACAGGAAAACATTAGAGCATGTAGAAACAAACATTTATGATGGTACAAACATTTGAAAAAGTGATTTTGCCACATTTGTTCTAGACAGTTCCTTCATGGCCCATTTCCCAAATCCACAATTAAAACACCCAAATTGTATTTTTTGAATGATTTATTCTTCTAATCTTATTATTTTTATTACTTTCCATACACATCTGCAGATTGTATAATCTTACTCAGATTTTGTTAGTTCATAGAAAGTAAGAACAATAAGCATAACTGCCAAAAATGGAGTAATATTTTGGCTTGTTGAATATTTCACACCTAAATAATCATATAAAATCAAAAGGATTGTTTGTTTGACATATGTCAACCTCAAAAATCCAGAATAAGATAGTTAAGGAAATTTTGAAACAAAGAAAATAATGAAGCAAGCAAACAAGATAGATTATGGAAAAGAAAAATTTAAGGGAATTCACATTTTCTAATGGTAGATAGATGAATATACATAAAACAAACAAAAAGTCTGAAATCATTTATCTAATTCATTAACAATGAAGATGTATTTGTGAACATTATGGGTGAGTATTAAAGATGTGATGACTCTAGCAAATTAGACTACCAATTGATATATGTCTTTGAGAAGGAACTAACTTCCAAATGATATGTATTTGTGCTCAAAATGGGTGATTTTTTAATAAAAAAGAGTTTTTTTTTTTTTTTATAATTCTTTTTGATAAGCTCCTTCAGAATTAAGTTCTTTAGTAGGTTAATAATCTATTGATTTTTACTCTCCTCACCTAATGAACCCATTCCACACCTTTAACAAATCATCCTTATAAAACTAAAGATCTTTCTAAACCATGTTATTAGCAATCTTGTATAGCCATTATACTTGATTCAATAAATTAATTAATTAAATATAATTTTTAGATTATTTATATAAAACTTTTTCTCAACTTATAATAAATTGAATGAATAAGTTCAAATAGCCAAGCCAAAAATGATTTTTTTTTTTTTTTTTGTTATTACTTTATGTATTGTAATTATTTGTAACTTAAAGCTCAAATATATGCACCAAAATTCTAATGTGTATGATGGTTATTGCAACACCAATTTTGCTAACAAAAAAAATAAAAGCATCTTTTGCATTATGTGTTGCTTTCTTTAAACATGGTTCTTTTGGGATATAAATGATATAAAAGACAAACACTCAAATTTTAATTCCCTACAAGTTGTATAATATGTGGCAAAGTTTGAAGTAGATCATTTAAAACTTGTTTTTAAGTGCACAAATCCTATCAATGAAGAAATTTCAACAAATTAGCTCTTGTTAAGATAGAAACTTGAAATGGTTGATCTTTCTATTCATTAGATTATATATGTCTTATAATTTTTAATGAAACTTAGTATGACTTTGTATTATAGAGAGGAACATAAAATCCTTATTTTAGTACAAACAAATTTTGCATCGACATTCTATTGAGTAGTGTGAGATACTTAAGATCCATGCGATGATTCACATCTCAATCCAAAGCTATTGTAAGAATAGTATATAGTTTCAATCAATTGTGTTGATGGTATATAGATGCATTTATACATCTATTAGATATAATGGGGTTTTTATCTATGGACATCTTGAGAATATGGTTTGATAATATCTTTTCCACTTTGGCCATATTATTTGAAAATCTCACATATACTTTAGAGATTATTCTCATCTAAAGCTATTTTTTGCTTAGTAGATGATGATATTTTAGAAGCCTTTATTATGTTTGTTTATTATAGATATTCTTTTTACAATTGCAGAAGTAATTATATTGAATCACATCATGTAATGAATCAGACAAGAATTCTACATTTTGTTCCTTACAATATATGGTTGTTTTGTTTTACAAATTAATACTACATTAATACCAACTTAATTCAATGGCTAATTTGACTCTTTACTAAACTATAATACAACAACAAAATTCTATTTATACTCCAAGATTATCAAGATAATCTAGAATAAACAACTATATAAATGCTTAAGGTTTTTTTTTATGTATGTCTAAGCAAGTAACTCATTTAATGAATATAGAATAGTGAGAAATATGATTGAATATGCAATGATTGTTGATCTTATTCTATAGTATTAATAAATGAATGTAAAAAAATATATATACCTCAAAAAATTTGATGTTCATACATATCTAATATGATTTGTTGGTATTGTTATTATTACTTGACCAATATATACTTGTTATAAATATCTAATAACAAATAGCTTCAGTAGTGGATCATGAGCAACTCCCTCACCTTTAAGACAATTTTTTCTATAAAAAATGAGCGGAAAATTAAAACTTAATATATATTTATTAAGACAACATTTAGTAGCATGTAGAAACAAAGTGCATTAGTTATTTGAGAGTACACAATTTGGTTCTATCATTGTGGCAAATCAAATGTGAAGTTAGATATTAATGCAATTTAGACTTAAATTCTAAAAACTTAACTTTGACATGATTGTTTCTTATTGGAATAGATCATATTGAGGAATAGGAGAAGGGAATGAAGATGAAATATTTATTGACTATCCAAAAGACAAAAAGGAATTGAGTACATTTTGGTGCTAAGAATAAATGTAAAGTACCTAAACAACAAAATTAAGAATCTTTGTCAAAGGAATTTACTTGAGAGTATGCCAAATACAAGTTTAGAAACTTAAAAGAATCCAAACATTACTCCCAAAAATATTGTTGGATTATACCCTAATTTGTGCAGCATGATGTCTTTGTAAGAAAATTAAGATAGAAATAAGAAGTAGAAGAAGTGCAAATTCCCCAATAGTGAGCAAATACAGACATCTTGCCTCATGTACCCAATAACAATTCAGCTATGGCTACAAATGTTGAGGCCTTGTGGCAACACAACCTTATAACAGTTGTATAATCCACAAATTTGCTACACGACCAAAAAATTGGCTTGTGCAATAGTGTGCAAAAGGTCATAAATCTATTGAGGCTCTGAAGTGATTCCAGCAGACTCTCCTACAAAGCTGCTAGTGAATGCACACATTTAATCTGCAGGTCCAAAAGAAAGAAAATTAGGGTTGGAGAAGTAATAGGTATGGGGGGTAGCCTATATCTCTACACAGGAGAGAGTTGTTTTTTGAAGTATTGCTTAACTGAGAGTGATTTGTTGGCATTAACAGTATGTAGAAACTTTTATTTATGTTGGATATGCACAATTTGGCTTCTTTTTCTATTTTTTAATACTTTTCCATTACGCCCTCCATTCTCTTTTGGTTTTCTAATGTAAAAAAAGTAGTAGTCACATTAAAAAATATAAATAAAAAGTTTTCTCTTAAAAAACAGAAACCAAATCTAAGAAATGTTAAATTAATGTTTTATTGTTAATTAGTTAAGGTTTTAGATTTTTTTTTTTTTAGATTATTTCGTTTAGCAACTTACTATAAGCTTAGACAAAGACCATGTTTATCCTTATTTATAAATCTTATTTAGTATTAGACTTTTTGAAGTTATTTGTGTTTTAAAACTTCTGTTCCAATATTTTATTACATTGTAATATAGCTGATTCTTTATCTCATTTCTTAAATATTACTTTTGCAAAAATAATCTTATTTAAGCTATACAATCAAGTTGTGTGTAACAATTATTTTTAAAACTTAAATTTTGTAAGACAATGTTGAACTCTATTTCTTTAAGAAAAAAGATAAAATGAATGATGTTTACATCAAATTATATTTTTTATACTATCTCTTACATGATATAATATATACAAATTCAATACAATAGAATGACATAAAAAAAATGAATTTTATTCTTTAATATATATATATATATATATATTATTTATTTATTTATTTATTTATTTATTTGAATACACATAAGAACTTTGAATTCAAAAACATGTGGTTTATATTCATATACAAAAGCCTCATAGGGTTAAAAAAAAAAAAAAAATCTTAAAAAACATGTGTTTTATTTATTTATCTACATCATTTTAACATATTTCGTGAATAAAATCAACTTGATTCCTTTTGATCTCTTAAACTTGATTTATATAGATTAATGTTTCCCAATATATTATTCATTAAAAGATTTCTTATTTTGATACTTTATGTTAGCATGCACTTTTCAACAATGATACTTTTTTACCATATGAAGTAGATTTTATGAAATTCAAAATACTACATGTCATTAAAGTATCCTTTATTAAATTATATTCAGAGACTACTTATATTTCAATGGTTCAAACAAAAATCAACTAATAAAAAAAAGAAAATTTTGATGAACAATTAATTATGAATTGTGTACATTTACAGCAGACATGGATGACATATAATATGTTTACATAGATGTGATATAATTCACAAATAATCTCTACATAATATGCGTTACAGGTGGGTACTTACAAAAAAACAAAATACGAAAGCATTAGAATAAAATGGGACATCGTTCTCAGTACACGTCAGACGAAGGAAGTCTGAGCTGGCACCTTTCTTACGCACCAATAAAACGCGGGAAGGCTCACAACTTTGGACCGCGCGGTCATTGGCTGATGTAGTGCCAACTCAGCAAGCTTGACGTAACTGTCGTCACAGGTCCATCCCGACGCTACTGGTCGCTTCTGACGTCGCCGCGCGTCCGCGTCTACCGCCGCAGAAGAATGAAGCCTGCGCATACAAAGCTGGGATTCCAACGCCTGCTGTCTGCCTCGTCGAATCTCTGCCGATTGAAGCTGGATTTCAGCCGTTTCTGCCCCTCGTCACCAATTTCTTGACGCTTGCACTGAACGTTGTGTTCGTTTCTTTGTGGGTTTTTCGTCCCTGATGGAAACTCCTCATGCATAGTCAGATTTTGCAAGACAGCTCTCTCAGGAATGGAGCTCTTGGATTTCGACCTTGATGAGGCTTTCGTTGATGACTCTTCGACCTGGGTTGATTTCTCGCCACTGTATGATAATGTTGAGATTGATAGCGGTGACGAGGAGCGGTGGCGAGAAACTGCCATGGCTTCAGCTTCTCTTTCTTCCGCTTCCGAGTCTGTCTCTCCTCATGTAGAGGTGTTTGCGTTGTCTGCCTCGTGTGGTGATAATGCTGATACGGTTGCGTTGTCCTCTTCTTTCTCTTCTCTTACTCCTGTTGCCTCCGAATCTGTTGCCGCAACGCATTCCTCCTTGGGTGTTGTGTGGAGCGCTCCCTCCGGCCAGCAGTGCAATCCCGATGATCCTGAATTTGTTCGGAGGTGCGTTGTCTTGGTTTCACTGTCTGTGGTTTTGGGTATCGTTGGTAAACTTTTGCCCGATGCTACGAAAGAAATGAATTTGTTTCGTGAATTGCGTGTGCACCTGGGTCCACTTCTGTTTGTAGTTTTGGGCGGGAATTTGAAGTAGCACTAACTGCCAGTCACGTTATGATGTTATATTCAGATTCGAGACTTGCAGGGATGCCGCCTCTCAATCTCAGGACTGGGAAGAATCTCATATAAAGGAGCTTGAAGTTAGGTGCCAGAATTTGACGGCGCAAGTTGTACAGCTACAGCGAGCCGTGGCAGCGACGTCGATGGAGAACGTGAACCTCAAAGATGAGCTTGTCCGTGTTACGAAATCCGAGGAGGCTATTGTCAATACCGGTGTGTCACAGCGTGCAGTGCGTGAAGGCAGTAAGTCTTTTTCTGTGAACTTAAAAAGCTCCTCCCTACTCTTCAGTGGAAAAAGTCGTAGGAAAAAATTATTCCATTTTACTGTGTTTAAAAAAAATCAGTGATTCTCAATGATTCGCACTAGGACGATTCCAGTAAATTCCAGATGAGGTTTCCAGTTTTATAATTCCGTCGGAGATCTCAACCGCGTAGAGCATGCACATTCATTGTTTCGTTGGACGATTTCAGACTCCCTGCAGCCGGAGTTCTTGCGCCACCGCTCATACAACCACCCCCTTTCCCACACTAGTGGCTACTTCCAAGGGTTTCTTCTCGCCCTCCCGCAGCTGCTAATGCTGGCAGCAGTGGCTGAACCGAGCGACCCTCAGACAAGTCTACCTCAGCCCCTTCCTGAAGAGAGGGCCAATGCTCCTATGTGGGTGCAGCTCTACCGTGCACTTGGAGGAGGCATAGCAGCACGAGGAAGCTGCAGGAGGAAGAAACGGAACCGACGTCGGTACAACCCCAATTCTCGATGGCCCAGTCGGCCTTCGGAACGGAAGCTTATGGGGAGACATAGGCGGAGGGTCAAGCATCTTCCATGTTCACGAATTCTTTAGGAAGCAAAGCGCAATTTTTTATCTTAAAAACTCTGATTTCTTTACTTTTCTCTACATCGCTGTGTACATTTTCTGCAATACCTTCTTCCGATTGAGAATTCCGCAAACTCGTATTCCAGTTATTCCCCACTCAACGTTGCAATCCGAGTAATGAGAGCTCATGTGCTCCATGGACAATATGGAGCAGGAACTCCTCAGAAACGACAAGTTGACACTGTGGAGTCAGAGCAATGCATGGATTGCCATTGAAGAGCATTGAAGCTCGTTGCTAGTACCATGTGCTGCTTGAAAGGCACAGTGAAGCCCTACTTGTGTATTAGACATAAAGGCATTGACATGGAAGAGTATTTTTTTTGTACAGAGATTGGGTATGTTATGCAAATGCTTGATAGTCAGTTACAAAGTGTGTATGTGTGTTTTTAAGTAATTTTGGACTATTTCATGAAATCTTTAGTGGTGGTTTATTGCCGCGCTGTCTACTATGGAAACTAGCTTAATGCATCACAGCAGCCTATAAGTTTCTACAATGCACAATTGATAGACACCGCGATTATATGAATAGAGGCAACATTCATCATCTACAACCCAAATAATACAACAATTATCACTAGTTATCTTGTTATTCATCAATAAACACTGGCATTAAAATAATTCTTACGTAATAGTATGCATTGTGAACGAGTAAGATTTTACCATCCTCTGGCAAGTATTATCAATCTTCTTTATAATTATATTGAGTTGTTCACAGGAAAAAAAATCAGGATTGTCAGGAGAGGATTTTGTTTTTTCTTTTCAATATAGCAACAATATTTTTTGAAAAATAAGATTATTCTAAAGGCCATGATGTACAACCAAGAATGTATGTGTAACTACAAATTTCACAAATGATAGTTATGTACTTAATCAGAATCCAATTAAAATTTGATTGATTGTTGTGCAATACTTGTAGAACATATATTTTATCTTTCAATATATATATATATTCCTTTTTTTTCCATGAATGTTTTTTTTACTCTTGCAAAAAAGTGACTGGCATTTGGGAAGCTTATTAACAATAGAGGTAAAACTTTGTTTGAGAGCAATTAAGAGCTAAACATGCTTTAAATTTGAACCAAATGTAAATATCAGAAAAACCAAATAAATAAAAACATTCTCATCATCACATATGTTATTTGTGTGGAAAAATTCATTTAAACTAAGATAACCACATGTGTTGATTTTTTTTTTTTAATCACAGTCTATTTATACAAGGATAGTGGTAATATTGAAATTATCTGTAGTACTTTACAGTTTCTGTTGTTATTTTGCATTCACTACACCTCCAACCTATTCATTTTTACAATTGCTTCTATTGTATTACAAAACAAATAGCTCTGTAAGTGGTGTTTGTGATCAAAAGATTAAAGTTGGATTTACCCATAGTATCAAAAAAATAAATATAGTAGTATTATTTAGATATTTATTTAGGGGAATGTTAAATAGACCTAAGTTTTACTAAATCAACCTACTCACAATGAAGAATGTGGTAATCATAATGAATGTGGTTGTTTTTCATTGGTTTTGGATCAAGTAGTGGAGAAATGAATCTAAATGTCATTTTAAAATTTAGTACGGCTAGTAAATTTAGTTTAAGTGGCTAGTAATTTAGTTTTAGTAAGGCTAGTAAATTTAGTAAAAGCCTAGGTCTATTTAACATTCTTCTTTATTCATTTTAAACAATTTATATTGTGTATTAAATCAGCACATATTTTAATTGTGAGGTTAAAAATTCATGGAGAGGTGATAAAAACCCAATGGGATTTTAATCAAAACCCTTGTCTTTGAGGTAAAGTTGTAATTTATTTTTCACTTTAATTTGTAAATCCATCAAAATGTGTCAGTCAATACACATGACCCCACTATTGGATCTAAAAAATTAATCAGAGCCTAGAAAAAATTAACCGATTCTGCACACACATCGGTAACAAATCGGTAACAAAATAATGGCAAAAATGGGGACATTTCTCAAGCTTTTTTTTCGTGGAGCTTAAGCTTGAAAGCCAAAAACGTTTCTGCATGCATTGACGTTAGTAGAACGCTTTCGGGGAACGTGGGGAACCAGATTCCATCGCGGCTGCAAGAACACCAGCGCAATGAACTACTCCACACCCTAGATCAACGCCTTCAGTGAACCGAGGATCGGACGGCTGGAAACCATTTTAGGGTTTGGGGCTCCGCAGGGTTTACTCGAGGGCTGGAGTACCGATCGCCTCTCTTTCCGAGTCCCCAACGCCATCGCAGGGCTCCTTACTCGCGGGCTCGGACTCATCGGCAACCATGGTAACGCTTCTGCTTCTGTGACCTCAACACGGCCGCCGTTCTTTCTCTCTTTTTTTTTTTTTTTTTTTTTTCCCCCGAGTAGAGAATGTCAGATTTTAGTTTTGCAAAGAACCCAAACACGGATGCAGTTTTCGTGGAATTGTGTCAACTGCTGACGGTTTGTTTCGCATTTGTTCCTCCACGAATAGGGTATCGACTTGAAGGCCGGTGGTCGCAACAAGAAAACCAAGCGTACTGCTCCCAAGAGCCAGAATGTCTACCTTAAGCTTCTTGTGAAGGTATGCTTCTGTATTCTGTATTGACTTCGCTTGAGATATATCTTGAGTCGACGTGTGTTGCTGTTCTCATGAGTCGTGAAAGGCAAACTCCAGTGCGTAATTATTTGGAAAGTAGCACACCTCTTTTCTTCAAGCTGCTTCAGCATGCGTTATGCTAGTCCGCTTACGATGTTTCAACTGTAATTGCTATGTCTGCTGCCCTGCAACGGTCCCTGCATTTCAGCTGTGAGATTAGGGTTAGACTCATTGTCCAATTTTCGGTCGTTTACGTTTTACAGTTCATAACGTGCTAGGGTATTGCAATACGATGTTATTGCAACGCGGAATCTTAACAGTAGGTTCTTCCTTAAGCAGCTCTACAGGTTTTTGGTGAGGAGGACAGATGCTCCCTTCAACAGCGTCGTCTTGAAACGTCTGTTCATGAGCAGAATCAACAGGGCTCCTCTCTCCATGAGCCGCCTTGTCAAGTACATGGCTGGAAAGGTACTACTTCGCAACTACAATCCTAGGGTTTCGTTGCTAGGTAGTCAACTATTCCTTCCTAAGTGAATTCTGCCTACGGCCTTCGACATTGTGTGCTGCTGTAGAGCACCAACTTCTTCCTTGGCACCCACGAGCAAAATCATCTTTTGTAACTGTCCTCCGATTTCGTGTATGTAGGACGACAAGATTGCTGTGTTGGTAGGAACCATCACTGACGACGTCAGGCAGTTTGAGGTTCCCGCATTGAAGGTTTGCGCTTTGCGCTTCACCGAGACCGCTCGTGCCCGCATCGTGAAGGCTGGAGGGGAATGTTTGACTTTCGATCAGCTTGCACTGCGTGCACCAACTGGTGCTAATACTGTAAGTTGTGTGTGCTAATGTAGTCTATTTACGGGTTAAATACTATTTATTGATGGGTCTATGCTGTGTTGAGAACTTTATCGCTGCACTCATCAGGTAGTTCCTGAAATGCTTCCTAGCTGTCCGAAACTGTAATTTGTTTAGAATTGCGTTGTGCTCGTGGGTAGGTTGGCATAGTATGCTCATCCACGTAAGGTTTTTCCTTTCACCTACTGAGTGTACCAATTCTACTTTTGTCTTTCTCAACTTAGGTTCTTCTTCGGGGTCCCAAGAATGCTCGTGAGGCAGTTAAGCACTTCGGAGCACCTGGTGTACCACAAAGTCACGCTAAACCCTACGTGCGTTCGAAGGGCCGCAAGTTTGAGAAGGCTCGTGGTCGTCGTAACAGCAGAGGTTTCAAGGTTTAGAAACTTTGTTTTTTAAATTGAGTAAATGAAACATTTCATCCAGGTGGCTGGAGATCAATTTCGGCTGATTTACGGATGCTGTGTCCCATTACACCTTTCAGATTTCTGTGGTGATGTTTGATTTGTTACTTTCCTTGAATCTAATAGATAATGAAAACGAGTTGCAAAATCTTTCTTTTTCACCTACAATCATTTATGTATGCATGTTATAGCGGTTGAATTGCAATTTATGCGAGTCACCTCAATTTACTAATTAATATTGCACAGAGAAGTTAGAGCCCCATGAGTCCATTTAACTAAACAGAACCATGTACTTAAAACATTGAATGGTAATAGGATTTTCGTAACGATAACCTGAAAGCAACGTTAGTGTCTTCTCGGGTTGTTTATACATAATTCAATCCTTACTGTGATCTGTTTCTTTACTCTCGGCACTGTTTTTAAGGGTGATGACTACGACCTTTCACAGTTCACATCCGAACACTTCTACTGTTACTGTCGCTTCTTTCGTCTTAGTTTTAATGAGGGCTGTTACCTGCTATGACGTCACTCTCATTCAGGATTGTTGGTAATGTGACACTTGTAATTTCAAATCCCAGTTGTGGGATCTTTCACTTCATTTAATAAATACAAATGCATAGACAATGTAACTTTAATGTCACAGCTTCTCATCATAAAAAGGAAAACAATAATTGTAAATGCGAGATGCCCAGGAAAATCGAATTGTAATTGAACCAAAAAACTTGGGGTTAAAAAAGTTAATGTAAATTTTACTGAACTTTTTGATTTCGTAGAACATGTTAAAGTAATAAATTTTGAAGGATGACAGATCTTTTGCATTAAGAATTATCCCTCAACGACTTTTTGATTACTCCAAAACCCAAGGCCAGAATGCATCTTGTTACAGGGTGAAGCTTGCTCGTAAATAAACATCAATTGAAAACTTAAGTTTACTTGTACTTGCTTTTGTTTCCTTTGTAAATTTGGATGTTCAAAGTAGAATCATCCTAAGTTTTTTTTTTTTTTTTTTTTTTTTTTTGGGTTTTTTGGATTTTTTTGTTTAAAGATTAAAATTCTAACCTTTTGCATATTATTTGTCAATAATATGAGGATTGTCAACAAGAATTGACTTAAGATGTGATAGAGATTGCTAATATATATATATATTTAAGAAAAAGATCATTATTTTGACTAACAATTAATGGAGGTTTAGTTGTTAAAACATTTAATACAAGATGTAAATAATAGAAAAAACATTAAACTTATAGATTGTAGAAAACAATTATAGAAGTCAGATGATCTTGAATGATAAGATAGAAAGGTGAGAGTTAAAAAACTCAAACAAATTAGAAGGAAAAAATTTAATTGGAATATTTTGTATTAGGGAGATTATATTTTATTTAATATAATTGTCTAATATTCCTAGCAGTAAAACTCCTAATTGTATTTGGTATTTATATTTGGCTAAAATAAATTATATTGAAAAAACCAAAATTAATTATTTAAAAAAATATAATTATTTTGTAGAAATTTATTGTATTTTCATGGTAAATAAAAAATTCAATGATGTAAAGGTAAATCAATAATTATAATAGTTAATAAAAGATTACTTTTGAATTTTATTATGTAATCAAGAACAAGGTACATTTTGTATTTGTATTGTGTAATCTATGCATGTAAGTATACAACTAATTACATAGATCTCTCTCTCTCTCTCTCTCTCTCTATATATATATATATATATATATATATATAATTTTAAAAAATATTCTATTAATTCTTGAGAGAATAATAACTTCTTAATTCAATAATTGTATAAAATTCACATCTTTTGAATCTCTAATTAATTGTGAAAAGAAGTTTCTCACTATGATCCAAACCTTTGATTCGAACACAAAATAAAATAAAAATCCACATCGTCCAATTGTGAGTATTTATTAAGAAATCTATGTTAAAAAATAAAAGTGAATTCAATAATTGAGAAAAAAGCATTTGATTATTTATTTAGGTCTTATTCTTTACCACAAGAAATTTTGCTTCAATAATATCCTAAACTATTATTAATGGTTTCAACATTATCACCCAAAAAAAGAAATATAATACAACGTCATTCAATGGACATCCATCAAATGAAATCCAACGACATTCATTACCATCCAATGGATGAGATATCAATGAATGAAGTGGTTATTCAATAGATGATTCTATGACAAAATCATACATCATCCATTGAATATGGGACTCTAAGCTTCTTCAACGACTTGAAGCAACATTCACATTCTATGAATGGAATTGAACCTTGAATCAAGCAAGCAATTGTTGTTGAAGTTTATTCAAGAGATAGTTATATTAAGCTTTTTGTCAACTAAAGTACATGTCACAATGATAAGTAATTCTAATGGTATGTTGTTTGCAAGACTTGAAGAGTCAAGTGGCACTAAAAATGATCATACAATCTTTAATGATCAACAATTTTTTACTCTATAATAAACTAAATTTTAGCATGAGTTCCATTGTGCTTTATTCAACACTCCCTATTACACTAGAACTTAGAGTTTTTGTAATACTGGATTGTTTGTAGCAAGAAGTTGAAGAGTTGTACAATGTAAGCAATCCTTCACTTCTTCATTCATTGTTTGTTGTTTTTGTATCCATTGAACATTTTGTTGTAGTGGAAGTTGTTTCTTCTAGGATTATAGATGGTAGTATTGACAATGCGTCGAGCATGTGTGGATGTTTTTTCTTCTACTACAAATTTGTTAGAGAGCTTGTACATATTTTTAGTGAGAAGTAAAAACAAAAATGAAGCTCCCTCTAAATTAATAAAAAATTGAAGGACTTTCAATGTATCTAGATCTATATATGTTAGAGTAAGGTTTCAAAAATTTTACATTGTCTAAGTAAAATTTGGGCCAAAAATCTATGATTCATGGAAGGAATGTAAGGCCAATGTAATTGGTTTTACAGGAGCAAAATTCAAGAGCTTCAGAGATAGAAGTTCTACAAAGAATTATATAAGAGAATAGCTAAACTGAGATAGATATTGATAATATATTGATTGATTCATGTATACAATAGTACGTAAATATGTCCATTGGTTTAATTAAGATGTCTATAAGTTGTTATAGTAGATTACGTATCCAATATTGGCTGTCTAGTATTAACATTCCTTCCGTAATCAACATCATTATAGCTTACGAGGATGATGTTGTTGTTTGTTAAAAAAAATATGCTAAAATCAATAGTTCCTTTGAAACAAATTCTTTTTTTTGCAATTAAATGGCCATTCTATGGATATTGAGTGTATTGGCTAAGAGTGTTTACAACAAAGCAAATAAAAGGTCGTGATATCATTGAGGCATATAGAAGTATATGAGCTATCGAAAGGAATCCACTTCATCATATATAGCTCATTTATAATCGCAATTTTCAACAATCTATTCAAAGTCTTGTGGTTTAAAGTGCTTTGCCAAAAAAATGAAGTGATTTTTTAATCTTATCTTGGATCTTTGTTCTTGAAGGAGGTATTGATATTGTCTAGATTCTTCAGTCATGGGTGTGTTGGATTTTGTTCCTATTTCTTGATAGAGAGAGGATTTTGTTTTTTTGGATAATAGTATATCTTAATGATTAGTTTGATGAAAATCTTAACTTTGAGCTTCATCATTATATCATATGGGCAACAGAGTCACATAATATGTTTTGGCAATTGTTTTGTAATATGGTGATATCTGACTCTATTTTCGTCACATGCAACATCTTTTGATAATATGATCTTATGGATTTGATAGTACCATTCATATGGCCACGATTAGCAAACGTGAGGCTTCTATAGACTAAGAAGTTAGTAGCGTACTTTGCTTTGTATTACAAGTGGCCAAAGAACTTGTATTGTATAAGTATGCAGCGAGATTACTCAAAAATTATTTTTATTTCTTCTCTCCACAACTCCATTCTGCACTAGGATATATGGCTGAGTTAACTTCCTCTTGATACCATTATTGTCATAAAACTTTTGAAATTTGAGTGACATGAACTCAAATAGTTGTTGAGAATACTTTAGAGAAAGAGAGACAAGAGTAGGTAGAAGTAATATACACACATATATAAACCACACACACAAGAAATGAGTTTATTGATAGGATTATATCTCTTATACAAAGAGAAGGAAAGAAGATAAATAATATCTCTCCACTACATTCCAAATACTGTAACTACAGTAAATACTATAGACTACAATAAATAGCATGGAGAGCACTAGCTATATTTAATGCTCTCAACACTCCTCTTTGCTTGTTATAATATTTATATGCATAGAATTATGATCTATATTTTTTTGTAATCTTGTAAGATCAACAACTACTATCTTATTAAAACCTTATCTAAGAGAACCTTATTATATTTAAAGATAAAACTATAGATGAAAGAAAAAGAATACAACATTATGTGAAGAGTTCATTACTTTTTTTTCTCAAGAAAAGTAAGTTGCAACATGCCAATGATCTTAAGTATTGAATTAATAATCAAGTCATGGATATAACTAAAATACTTTGGATCAATATACTTTGTCATATTTCTTTTAATAAAACCAATTTACATCTGTGTAATACAAGTACTATTATCTTTATACAAGATACTTGGAGAATCATCATATGAAAATCTATAGATTGTCTGAATGAGTTTATTGATTGATTACAATCAAATACATTATCGAGATGCTTCATGTAAGGCAATAATTTTTGCATGGTTGGATGAAATTGCAATTATAAATTATTTCAATGATTTCTATGATATTGCACCTCTATGTCTTAAGAATATATAGTTTGTTTGAGATTTAGTTGTTATAATATCAGATTTATATCATGTATGAGCATATCCAACCAATTTTGGATCTGCAAATTGTATGTAGTATAATCTCAAATCTTCAGTACTTTTTAAATAACATAGTAAATATTTGATGCCATTCCAATGTCATAGTGTTAGACATGCACTGTGTCTTACAAGAATACTAACTGCAAATGCAATATCTAGTCAATTAGGTGTGGCTAAATATAAAAGTGCTCCAATCGCTCCAAGATATGGATAATGCTCTCTTAATATTTCCTCATCCTTCTCCCACAAACGATATGGATTATGATTATCACGACTACATCCAACCATTGATATAGA